GTTACAGTTTTTGACTGGCATGTCTCTTTGACTAGTGCATTTTTTGAGCCTATATTTAGTATAAGTAAAATACTTAAGTACTGTTAAAATCAGATACTCTAAGACTTTTACTCAAGTTGTTTTGGAATTGGTGACTTGTAAGGTGTAGTGGAGTAATTTTCACTGTAAGGTATCTGTACTTTTACTCAAGTATGGTTTTTAGGTACTCTTTACACCTCTGGTAACCGATTAGTCTGTATTATTCTATGAATGCATTATTTGTTCATTACACCTATGTTTTAGTTAAAAATATGGATGGAAGCATTCAATTGATCAAAGGAGACAGTAAAGACATTTATAATGTTACAAAAGATTTATATTTGAAATAAATGGTGCTCTTTTGAACTTTATATTCATCAAAGAAAAATGAATTCAGCTTTACATCACAGGAATAAATGAAAACAATAATAAATCTTACAATTTATTTTTTACCACATTGAAAATGTCTTTATTGTCACTTGTGACCAATTTAATCCATCCTAGCTGAATAAAAGTTTTAATTTCTTTCTTTCTTTTTTTTAGTCTTACTGACATTTTCTAGGATTCTTTGATGAATAAAAACTAAAAAATAATAAAAAACAGCATTTATTTAAAATATATAATTATTGTACCATTATAAATGTCTTTATAGTCACTTCCGACAGATTGAATGTTGCCTTGCTGAAAAAAAAAAAAAATTTATATATAAAAAAAAATCTTACTAACCCTATAGTTTTAACATATTATTTTAATGAATATAAAAATTATTTGATATTATTTTATGCTGTTTTAGTGACTTATGTTGCTGTGTGTGTTCTGTCTCTTCAGAACCAACCGAATGCCCAATCGACTTGTACTTTGTCATCGACACGTCTGAGACCATAGCTCTACAGGAGAACCCACCTGGCAGCTTGGTAAAGAGCATCAAAGACTTCACCACCACTTTTGCTACGAAACTAAAAGACGTTAACTATAAAGGTTTAGTTCAGATCAGCTGGTCTGTAGGAGGCCTTCACTTCTCCCAGCGGCAGGAGATCATCAGCACCATCACCAGTAAAGATGTGTTCATCGAGAGGCTAAAACCAATCACGTACCTGGGAAAGGGCACGTACATTGACTGCGCTATCACCAACATGACCCAGCAACTGGTCCGCTCACCGTCCAAACCCAATGCCACGCGCTTTGCTGTGGTCATCACCGATGGTCACGTGACAGGAAACCCATGTGGTGGGATCAAAGTGGCTGCGGAACGAGCACGTGATGAATTCATTAAGATCTTCGCTGTCGCATCATCCAGGAACCTAGAGGAGACGGGACTCAGGGAGATCGCTAACTCACCTGCTGGAGTTTATCGTAACAAATACATGGCGGTTGATCTCACGGGAGTGAGGCCAGTCATAGTGACATCAACAATCGATCGCATATATGACACAATGGTAATGCAATGCCTTTCATACTTTTCTTTTGGGTATACAGTGGTATAATACTCTGAAATTAAGATATTGGATGATTTTCAGACATATTTAATGATGAAAACATGATTTAGTACTTCATTGATGTTTGTTGTGAGCTAAGGACTATTATTATAATAATCTTCCTTTGGTGTCATTCTCTCTTACAGCTTCATCTGGCTTATCAAGAGGTGAGATCCATATCAGTTTACTAATATCTATTGATTTCAAGGATTTTTTTCATTGGGTGCCAACATGTTGAATCACTTTTTGTCAGAGCTGTCACTATATACTCCTACAAATAAAAGGAGGTTTTCTCAGCAATGAAACAGAAGAACCATTTTTGGGTTCCCCAAAGAACCTTTCATTGAATGGTTCTTCAAAGAACAATTTTTTCTTAGTGTGAAGAACATTTTTTAAATCTGAAGAATCTTTTTCCACCTTTTGTGGAACGGAAGGGTTCCATGGATGTTGAAAGTTCTTCATGAAACAATTAATGGCAATAAAAACATTTTGTTTTTAAGAGAGTATGATAGGTTCATAAAGGTTCTCCAAAAAAGGATTTTGTTTGAAGCATCTGGATTTTATTGTCCATATATATGTTTTGACACTCCTTATAGCTTCAGCAAATATTTGATGAACCATCTTCAAAAAATGGATTTTTATTTAACATTGCAATGTATAATCTGATTTCTAATTTAATTTCATCATTATTTTCCAGTGTTACTCTGCGAAATGTTTGGAGACTCCAGGACCTCCAGGTCCACAAGGACACAGGGGACAGAAAGTGAGTATCTTAAAAAACAAAATTTGACAGCACTGTCAGAAATCTTAACTATCAAGTAATTCCAGTCTGTTTTTCTTTTCGCTTAACACTTGATCTAACGCCTTGATTATTACAGGGAGCTAAAGGAGATAATGGCGAGCCCGGTCTTAAAGGTCAAAGTGGACGTCCTGTGAGTACAAACCAGTTCTCATGAACGCATTCGGTAAAATACAGCATTTCAACCAAAAACTATTCTACATCTAATTTGTATTCAAAGAGGCTCTCACACCAGTACTATTTGTATTAACTCATGTTAAAACCTACAGGGAGATCCAGGTATTGAGGGACCCATTGGACATCCTGGACCTAAAGTAAGTTCTTCACATTCCTCAGGCGCATTTAAATGTCTAGTCATAGACCAATATGTATTGGTCAGACCAATTAATCTGCATGTATTTTAAGATTATCGGCATTAAGTGATAAAGTGTTTTTGCTTGGCTGATTAACAGAAGGGAGCATCAGATAGCCTTGACAATATATAATTTTATTTTTTATGTTTTTAGTGAATTTTAAGTAATCATTGTGTTAAATGCTCAGTTCACTTTAAGCATTTCATTTCAAATTTTGTGTACATCTAATTAGCTGTCATTAAAATGCATTATGTATATTTCGGCATTATTGCACTGGATTTGTCCAATTTACTGCTTGTAACCACCCTGCTTTTTTTCTTCTTCTCTCATTTAGGGAGAGCCCGGTCTCAGAGGTGAAAAGGTAGGATTTTCTCAAAGTTATCTGTAAGATCTAACAAATATGGTTGACATATTGATAATGCACCAACAACTTTACATGCAAATTATGTGTTTTTAGGGAGAAATTGGAGCACAAGGGAGAAAGGTAAGTTCCTTAGACCATTTACTTATGATTTTATATTTTCTCTGTATGCAGAATCTTCCATGCTGCATGTATTTTGAAATATTTATAAACATTTTTATTCTTTCTGGACCTAAAGTAAGTTCTTCACATTCCTCAGGCGCATTTAAATGTCTAGTCATAGACCAATATGTATTGGTCAGACCAATTAATCTGCATGTATTTTAAGATTATCGGCATTAAGTGATAAAGTGTTTTTGCTTGGCTGATTAACAGAAGGGAGCATCAGATAGCCTTGACAATATATAATTTTATTTTTTATGTTTTTAGTGAATTTTAAGTAATCATTGTGTTAAATGCTCAGTTCACTTTAAGCATTTCATTTCAAATTTTGTGTACATCTAATTAGCTGTCATTAAAATGCATTATGTATATTTCGGCATTATTGCACTGGATTTGTCCAATTTACTGCTTGTAACCACCCTGCTTTTTTTCTTCTTCTCTCATTTAGGGAGAGCCCGGTCTCAGAGGTGAAAAGGTAGGATTTTCTCAAAGTTATCTGTAAGATCTAACAAATATGGTTGACATATTGATAATGCACCAACAACTTTACATGCAAATTATGTGTTTTTAGGGAGAAATTGGAGCACAAGGGAGAAAGGTAAGTTCCTTAGACCATTTACTTATGATTTTATATTTTCTCTGTATGCAGAATCTTCCATGCTGCATGTATTTTGAAATATTTATAAACATTTTTATTCTTTGTCTAACAGGGTGTTGCAGGAATATCTGGCAGAAATGGAACAGATGGGCAGAAGGTTAGTTATGGTAAATGTGAGGTAGTGAAGTGTGGATAGCAAAAAATAAAATAAATAAAAGATAAAATAAAAATGACTATTTTTTTAAACAGGGAAAAATTGGCAGGATTGGCGCTCCTGGCTGCAAAGGTGACCCTGGTGACAAGGTGTGTGAGTCTTTTCCTTTGGGTAATAGATTCTTGTCATGCAAGTCCATTAACAGGTGAATGTTTCTTTTACAGGGTCCTGATGGCTATCCTGGAGCTGTTGGAGAACCGGGTCTTCCAGGGAGTCTGGGAGAAAAGGTACCTGATAAATTATAGAAAAAAGAAAAATTGACATTTATAAGCCATTAATTAGGCTTATTGGTTTGATGTGTCATGGTTTCTCACTTTCTTCTCAGGGTGATCCAGGTCGTCCAGGAAGACCAGGCCCACCTGGGCCAGATGGAGATCCTGGACCCAAAGTAAGATTTCATAACCACAGAGATTACATTATTATTAGCTATTATCATAGACTGTATAAAAACATGAACGTAGTGTCCGTGACGTCACCCGTAGGTTTCTGAAGAGAATTTTTGAAGCCCAAAGTAGAGACCTGTGGATTTTTCAGTCCCGCTCCCGCAGAAAAATATCTTATCTAGTCCCGTTCCCGCCCACGACATTCATGACTTGTCCCGCTCCCGCCCGCAAAAGCCTGAATAAAATTAATCTATATAGATTTTTTTCAGTACATCGAAGAAATTTACATTAAATGGTTCTGTAACATTTCCTAAGCTCCACAACATACCAGCATAAACACTCCCGATAAAATAGTTGTTATTTAGGCTAAGCATCAACATTCACAACAGAAAAGCAAGCATGGGCTGCTGCGTGCATGGTTTGGCATGGCAGTATGCCAGCAGCGCTTCCTTTATTGTCACTAAAAACTGACATCGCAGTTAATTGCGATCTCATAAAGTCAATAAATATATGCACAATGAATCTTTCACAATGTCTACACTTCGTGTGTTAAAATGAGAGGATGTCGTGAGCACGCAATTTCAGCACTGAGATTGGAGATATGTAGATTCTAACTTAATCACCTCTGATTGGTCATTGCGTTCCAGAAATCAACAGCTGAGTCTGTGATTGGCTACATTGCGCAACCCTTTAAATACGTGTTATAAATAGAAACTATGCCTAGCTTGCACGTCAATCATTTAAATGTTAATATTAGTTGTTCTTTTTGCTTTTGTGCAACAGATAAATAACAATTTATATGTTTTAGACACTTTATGTTTAGATAATTTCTATTTTGCGGGAGTCCCGCGAATCATTTTATTCTCCCGCATCCCGCACACACACGAGTCTCTTCCCGCCCGCACCCGCACTCGCCCATCAAGAGTTGTCCCGTGCTGCACCCTCTTGCGTTGGGTCCCGCGGTACTCCTGCGGGAGTGCAGGTCTCTAGCCCAAAGTGGGCGTTGCCGGTCGTCGCCATCTTGGCAGCGCGTCACTCCCGGATAATCGAAAATGGGCAAAGAGGCGGGACGTGGGTGGCGCTGATTGCTGAAACCACGCCCACTTAGCTCGACGGCGATGACAGCAGCGGCAATCCACCTGTCACTCAAGTGGCCACGCCCTTAATTATGCAGAATTTTAAAGCTTAATATAATTTAAACGGATGAGTTATAAAAAAATTCACCCCCCTCACAGTTGTCATGAAGGGCAAAATTAGCTATATAGAAAGAGGCGGGACGTGGGTGGAGCTGGTTGCTGAAACCACGCCCACTTAGCTCGACGGTGGTGACAGCAACGCAAATCCACCTGTCACGCAAGTGGCCACGCCCTTAATTATGCAGAACTTTAAGGCTTAATATAATTTAAACGGATGAGTTATAAAAAAATTCACCCCCCTCACAGTTGTCATGAAGGGCAAAATTAGCTATATAGACCAAAACCATTTTTTGTACCAGGCTGTAAACATATTTTTTTCTGCTGTAAAGTTGGGCATTTTAACATGGGAGGTCTGTGGGATTGACTCCCTTTTGGAGTCAGTCTCTAGCGGCCAGTCGATGAATTGCAGTCACTTCCGTGTTGGTTTCAAGAGAGAGACTGGAAGGTTGCCGCTTGGCTATTATCAATCATATTGTAATGTGCTCTCTGACACCCCCTACAGGGAGAGAGAGGAAGTCCCGGATCACCTGGATTTCCTGGCCAGAAAGGATCTGCTGTATGTATTTGTTTTAATTATGGTCATTACTGTTATTTTAACATTGTAAATTAGAGATGATGTTAACAAAAACTTTGTTTTGTTTTATAGGGGATAGCTGGAGGACCTGGACCTAAAGGCGACCCTGTGAGGAATTATTTTTCTGTCATGTTTGCATTGTAAAACTACAGTAGGTGGACTTGATATTTACAATTGTATTTTTAGGGAAGACGAGGAGACTTTGGACTTAAAGGCAGCACTGGGCCTAATGGGCCAAAAGGAGAAAAGGTAAGTGTTTTTGTGAAAATTATAACTTTACAAAGAATTAGGTCTCAGTTTAGTAAGTTTAGTGTGTGGTTCTCATTGTACTGTAAACTCAGATTGCATGAGGGGAGACAATGTTATTTAATTTAACAATTATTTTAACAATGTCCTAAATGATTAATTGAAGTATTTATAATGTTTGACAGGGTGAACCAGGTCCTGAGGGAACAAGGGGTCTTCCAGGCGAGGTTGGCAACAAAGGTTCCAAGGTAAGAGTCATTGATTTGGCTGCTTAAAAACAGGTCAGTGTAGAAAAAATTGATTTTTATTGGTTTTATGGTGGACATGATTGAAAAAAATACATATTTTTTTTAACTTCTAGGGGGATAACGGACTTCCAGGACCAAGAGGCTCACCAGGAGCTCCTGGAGAGCCAGGCAGAAATGTAAAAAAAAAAAACATTTTTCTAAATTTCATATTTGCCAGACATTTTACAGTACACAATGGCTGAAAATGTCCTAAACCAAAAGCAGCTGCCTTTTTGTCTAGCTGCTTACGTCAGATGATTAACTTATTTTGCTGGATGAACAAGCAGCAAAGAACATGTTATCTCCATTATAGGGTTCCCAAGGTGACCCAGGTGATGCTGGCCCTAGAGGTGATCCTGGCCATCTAGGACCACAGGTACATCACACACAAAAAAATCTGATGGTTTTAAAATCAATGCTTGCATGTCTGTTATAAATACAAGATGCTGATTCCTTTGCTGTAGGGTGATTCTGGCAGACCTGGGTTCAGCTATCCTGGACCAAGGGGACCTACGGTACTGTAATGAGTTAAATTTGTAGTTGTACTGAATTAAATTTCAATTTAGAGAGCTTTAGATCACATTATATTTTAAGATTTTAGATTATACAAATAAAATATTACAATATACTATATATTTGTTCTACAGGGTGACAGGGGTGATAAAGGTCCGCCTGGACCCAGGGGAAGTAGAGGAGACTGCGGACCAAAGGGCGACCTGGGTTCAAAGGGAACTCCTGGAGAGCCGGTCAGAAAATTGACTAATTTTTGTTGCACATTTGCTGTTCAGAAATAAAATGCCATTTGCAACCAGTTTTACTTTCATAGTGTGATAATATTTTTTCATTTTGTTTCAGGGAGAGCCCGGGCCCCCAGGAGAACCTGGACGAAGGGGCCCTATAGGAGATCCAGGAAGAGATGTAAGTTTAATTTTTTAGTGCATATTAATGTTTAAAGGACGTTTGGGTAGGATTGGGTAATAAACAATATCATATTGAGATTGCAATAAAATGTATGTCTATAATGATGATAAGCTCTCGATATGGATTAATCTGACAGTCTATCACACAGCAGAAATAAACGCAACAACAGCCAGCGCATGCCGCTAATAAGTCTGCATGTTCTCTTTTCGTCTACTACACAAACTCAAGCAAGCGTGATGCTCACAGCATTTTCAGTGTCTGCTGTCTCAATATATGAAGTCATGAACACATGAACTTCATCTCCAGAGCTGCTCAGAGTCACTTCACTAGCATTTCATCATTTCATTTGAGAAAAAATACCGTAAATCATTTATAAACATACACCAACACAGGAGAGCACATCATTATCTAAATATGCCAACTGTTCATTGCAACTTCAAAATAAAAGTTAAAAAACAAGTTTGCATGTTTTGATGTCCACATGTTCTTGTTCAAGAAATGAAAGTGGCAGTAGCATTTCTATACTAAAGAAGTGGCCAAATATTAAAGATTAAGTGGACATTTGAATTAACCGTTGTTTAGTCAATATTAAACAATGATTGGATTGGCCTTTAGCGCCCTCTGCAGGCATTTGATATATAAGTTATGATTATACTTGTTTTATTACATTATGTATTTTTAACTCTTTTGTTCAATAAAACCATATGATTACTTGCTTTTGAAATTCTATTTGAACCAATTGTTTTTGCCTCATTGCTATTATATATGTATTTTATGTCATTGTAAAGTCTAGGTCTATTTTTATTTCCGCAAAAAAACAAACAAAAAAAATAATAATAATTATCCGATTGCTCGATTAATCGTCAGAATTACTTGATTACCAAAAAAATTGTTAGTGACAGCCCTAATATTTTTCATCCATGTTTTAATTTATAAAATTTTGTTGAACAGCGTTTTATTTGACAAAAAATGAAAACATAATGTTTTGTTGCAAATTAATTGTTATATTTTCTTTTGATTACATTTTAAATTAGTTTTAGTTTTATTAATTCATTTTATTTTTGTATTCAATTTATATTTAATCATAAAACAAAGAATTTATAGGGAAAAAACAAAAAACATAATGGATTTCATGGGGCCCTAAATAAACGGGTAGCTTAATCTGTGGAGTTCAATTATGAAAAAACAAGATATGTTTACATTCATTCTCAAGGTCTAACAAACATGTGGAAAGCATTTCCTTTGCCATTAATGGTAAATATTGTGATATCATTTGATATGGAAATAAATATTGATATGGTTGATATAGAAAACAATATTTTTGTCTATATTGCCCAGCCCTCCGTTTGGGATATTTCATTTATTTTGTCGTTGAAAAGTGCTTAAACAACAGTAAATGGTAACAATGAGCCAAGGTCTGAATGCTTGCAATTTAAGTAAACTTTTTATTAAATGATTTCAAACTGTGTCCTTAACAGGGTGACCCTGGACCAGAGGGAGACCCTGGCCTTACTGTAAGCATTAAAATTCAGATTTCGTAATTAAATTGCTCAAAACTACTTTATGACCGAATGTTGAATAAATACTATACATTTTCTCAGGAATGTGATGTCATGAACTACATCAGAGAGACCTGTGGATGCTGTGGTAAGATTCTCATACTGTAAATTTGCAGTAAAAATAAATGGATTGCTACAGTATATTCACTGAATGTTCTTGTCTGTTTCAGATTGTGAAAAGAGATGCGGTGCCCTGGATATTGTGTTTGTGATTGACAGCTCTGAAAGTGTGGGGTTGACCAACTTCACCCTGGAGAAGAACTTCGTGATCAACACCATCAACAGACTGGGCTCAATAGCAAAAGATCCCAATTCTGAAACAGGTAAAAATACATTGTGGAGCCAACGTTTGCATGGAGAAGCACCATTCATATTTACTTCAAGTCAATTTTACAATCCGAATGAGCTTTAAATACATTAAGTAGCAATGCACAAGTGGTTTAATTTGTGTTTGCTAAATTTCTCAGGAACTCGAGTCGGCGTTGTCCAGTACAGTCACAACGGAACATTCCAGGCTATTCGCCTCAACGATTCCAAGATCGACTCCATGTCCGCTTTCAAAGAAGCCGTGAAGAAGCTCGAGTGGATCGCTGGAGGAACGTGGACGCCTTCTGCCCTGAAGTTCGCCTATGATAACCTGATTCGCGATAGCCGGCGTGCTAAGGCTAATGTGACCGTGGTTGTGATCACAGACGGCCGGTACGACCCCCGTGATGATGACAAACTGCTCAATTACCTCTGCACGGACACCAACATTGATGTGAATGCCATCGGTATTGGTGACATGTTTGACCAGCCGGAGGAGAATGAAAGCCTGAAGTCCATTGCTTGCAGAAAAGATGGAAGAGTCATGGGAATGAGGCGTTTCGCTGATCTGGTTGCAGAGGATTTCATCGATAGGATTGAGACTGTACTCTGCCCAGGTGAGTCCTGACTTTACTATGCTTTTTAGCTTTATCCAGAAATAGAGTTTTCTTTTCATTACTTTTCTCTTCTTTGTTTTTAGATCCAGTGATTGTTTGCCCTGATCTTCCATGTAAAAGTGGTAAGTGTTGTTGTTCATACCTACAAAGATGTGTATGATTAACTTTCCTAATGGCTGAAAAGACATTCTGAATGTTTTTCTTTCAGTCAAGTCAATGTATACGGCAAGATTTATTATTATTATTTTCTTTACATAACTATAATCTTTTTATTATTTTATTGTTTTTAAATTGCCTTTTTTTCACAGGGTTTGAATGGGTTTTAAAGGGGCAAATCTCTATACAATGCATCCAAATAGTGTTATTTATTTACTATTACAATATTTATTAGTATTTTGACTTAAGTTTTAATTCAGTTTTAATTTTAGTTAAAATTTTAGTGATTGTGCTTTTGTCATTTTATTAGTTTTTGTGTGTTTTAATATTTCTGTTTAGCTTTCATTTATTTTTATTTAATTGTTTTGTTTTAGTAATTAAAAACGCTTTGGTGGACACGCAGCCTAATAGTTTCTGTGTCAGCCATGACAGCTAGAATGCTAATAATAATTTAAAAAAAAAACAGGTTGTATTTGGCCTATAAAAGTCATAATAATAATGTTTTCTCTGCAAAATAATATAAAATCCACAGAACTGTCTGGATTTGTTTGTGGGGTAAATTATCAACATATTTATAAAAAGTCATTTTTTTAGTATACATTTATGGTTCAGTACACATAACAAATGTTATACATTTGTACGGTTATACATCTCAAATGTATATGTTATGAATATTAATCATACACTTGTTATGTGTGATAACCAGCCCAGTCTCACAAGAGAAATGTCACATTATCAAAACAGTGGTGTGTAAACAGTTGTTTAGTGACATTTCCTTGTGAGTGTGTCAGCTAAATGCACAATGTGCAACGCAAAAGTTATCAAATCAAAAACTAAAATCAATCAAAACAGCAACTAGGCAGAGCCAGTTGCTAGGAGGCCCTAAAACTATTGTTTTAACACTCACTTGCAGATAACGCCCTTGCAGAGGAGTGGAAGGACAGTCCCATCCCAACCACTGTACTAAGCGTCCCAAACTTAATCAACAATCCACAAGAGGCCAAACACCCCGATACCTACACCAAGGCTGTAGCTACATTGGCTTACGCAGCCCAGATGGCTAAACTGTCCTCTGAACCTGACAAACAGAGATGGACTGATCTGTTCATTGACTCATTTAGAGAGATCTATTCTGATATGATGGGAGACCCAAACAAAGCTCTTGGCTTGTGTTAGGAAGCATGGGATTGGGCATTTTCAAAAATTCTAACTGATAGCTTCAGTGAAAGAATAGACTTGGCCTCGCTGTAGAGTTGTGCTCTCTGTAGAGAGTTAAGTAAAAACCTAGCTGGTCTATGCATGAATGTAGTATTTGCATTAACAATACTCAAAAGCAGTTGCTATTACCGCTCTTAAAGATGTAAAATTTCATTTGCAAGAAATAGCATGTAAAATAGTTAACATCATGGCCAACCACTTACATTTGTTTGCTAACCTCTGCTAAAAGCAATTCCCTGCTATGAAAATGTGAAATGGCAACCTTTGCCTCTTGACCTCGATGCCTGCTGCTCTGTAATTCAAATATATGAAATGAACACATTTTGAAGAATAGCTGAACAGCTCTTTGACACTTTGCTTGCATGGCATGCTGTCATTAGCTTTGCCTGGTTTGCTTGAATCCTCAGGGCCTCTAGGACTTGAAGGCATTTTAATCTTTTATAAATATGGCGGGAGACGCTTTGGTGTTTTGAATATGAAAGATAGTGGTAATTGATACTTGAAGGGTAGTTTACATTCAAAAATTAAAATTCTGTCATCATTTACTCATCCACATTGTTTCAAACCTGTATGACTTTCTTTTCTTTCTTCCATGGAACACAAAAGGAAATGTTTTAACTTTCCATACAATGAAAACATATAGTGACCAGGGGATTTCAAACTCCAGAAAGGAAAATAAAGACTCCATAGAAGTGTTGTAAAAGTACTACATCGGTAATGGGAAATTCATACAGGTTTTAAATCACAAAATCAGGTAATGATGACAGAATTTTTTATTTTTTGATTGATCTATTCCTTTAAAGCATCTGTACATTAGTACATAATTAATTAGTTTTGCACTTTGCACATTAAGGCTGAATTCACAAGCCTGTAGCTTCTCAGAGGTTAGTGAAATATCAATGGAGCTTTTTAGTGCTGCTTTACCATTGTCGACCTTCAAAGACCCACTATAATGTACAGAAATAATTTATATGATGATCAATTAGGGATTTTGTATAAACCGCTTTACCAATGCTATAGCATACAGTTTTATTCTTTAAAAAATAATTCAACCATTATTCTGGTTAAATTTAAGTATATTTTCTCAATTGCCCCAAGAGTTAATCTGCTTTTAGGCAACAGAAGGCTTTAGAGAGTCTCTGACATATAATTCTAATAGCATTCATGTACTACAATGGCAATTCAGTAATACTTTTTGTAGCCTCCTAACTGTTAATGGCAATTTATGTGGCATATATTGCATGTTTGATTATCTCAGTGAATCTTTTTGAATGGAAATTCATATCAGAGTGAATTAGCTATGTACGTCCTGATATTGACTGTCCGTGAGTGAAAGAAAAATGGACTGTGTACAATTCAGAATACTTTTTTTTTTTTCAGTCTGCCATTATGGTCAATAATGAGATTTTTCTTGGTAATACAAGATTATGTATATTTAGTAGCAAGTATATATATACATGACACTATATCAGAAATGTGCAATGAAAAAATGGCAAGCTCTCGGACTGCAAGAAATGAATTAATGAACTTGAATTATTTGTAACAAATAAATATCTTTAGCAATGAAATGCTTATTTTGTTAGATTTATATACTCTTAAATTAACTTTATCTTATTTAACTTTATCCACTGGAGCAAATCAAGCTTGAAGTACCATCTAAATGCAAAGCATGTCACCTAAGACAATTATTGCTGTTTTTGTATTTTGTAGAGCCAGCTGTAGCCAACTGCATCCAGCGGCCTGTTGATCTCATCTTCATGCTGGATGGCTCAGAGCGCATGGGTCAGGAGAATTTCCGCTATGCACGTGAGTTTGTGGAGAATGTTGCTAACCGCCTGACCCTCGCCCGGGGAGACAACGATGAACGTAATGTCAGGGTGGCTCTTCTGCAGTATGGTGATGAAAACCAACATCAATTGGCCTTCACACTTACCAACAACTTCACCCTCGTCACTGATGGCCTTGCCAGCATGAGGTACCTGGATTCTACTTCCAATGTGGGAAGCGGTATTATCTACGGCGTCAACAACATTGTCACGAGTGGAGGCACCCGATTGGCTAGACGAAATGCCGAGCTGTCGTTCGTCTTCATCACCGATGGGGTCACCAGCAGCAAGAACCTGGAGGAAGGCATTAGCTCGATGCGCAGAGCAGAGGGCGTTCCCACTGTGATTGCCATGGGCAGCGACGTTGACAAGGAGATCCTAGCAAAGCTTTCGCTGGGAGACCAGACGGCCATTTTCAGAGGTCAGGATTTTGCCAGTCTGAACAAAGCCCGCTTTTTTGACCAATTCATTCGGTGGATCTGCTGAGGGGTGGGGTGGGTTTTTAGTAAATGGTGGGATTGGTGTGTCATAGGGTTCAGTACAATAGAACAGATGCATTTTATTTACACTAAATCTATGCAATTTAAGTACTTATATCTTGTTTAAAGATTTATGACAGCTTAGGATAACCTGCAACACTCTCATGGGCTTTTCAACTCAATGATTTCACCAGTGGAGATGGGCTTTGAGTACAGGAAGACACTGCAGTAAACCAAGAGGTTAAGTTACTAGTAACACCCCAAACAATATGTACTGAATGTGTATTTTGATAAAGTTGCAATTGTAGTTTCTGTACTTTTATGCTGAAAGGCCTCTAGAATTTTTGTTTTATATATTCTTCTACACAAGGTGCTAAACCAGAGTAAGACTGGAGTTTTGTATATCATTATCAAATGCACATTGGTAAAAAGTGCACTAATTCAGGGGTACAAGAATTTGAAAAAAAACACTTGCCACATTCATTCTGTATCACTTAAGATACAATTATGTCTAAAAACATTGTTAAATTTAATTGTCATTGACTTAAAAAGGGCCTGAAGTAGCTAAAATAAATCAATGCCACCTTCCACAGCATGTTCACTCTTGAGCCAACACATGCTTAGAAGTCCAGTGTTTCAGATTAAACATTGACTTACAGTGAAATATAGAAAAATTCATCACCTACATTTTAATGTAAAGGATAATTATGAGACTATTATTAGCACCACAATCAGTCACTTAATAAGAACCAAAAAGGAACATTTGACATGCTGTTGAACACTTGAATGAAGATTTTCATAGTTGCTGTCAAACTGAAATTTTAGTACAATAAATAAAGCTGTGGTAACACAACTGAGGTGTCTGTGGTTTTTGTTATTGAAACTCAAAGTCTCTGAACATTGAAGAAAATATACAGGCCAGAAATGTGTGGCACTTTTGTTGTGAGTGTCAAGTTATAAGTATATTTACTGAACAGTTGAACAGTGTTGATGAAACTGTTTCTTTAAACGCACATGGCCCAGGCTAACATCACACTGGCCTCATAAAACTAGAGAAACTTTACTTTTAGCTTTCAGTGTCAATGTCCTCACTGTGTTTTAATGCACTCACCGTGAACCAATGAAAAGACGAGCTTCTACATAAAAACAAATCGCGTTTGGTCCAGAGCGCACACCGTAGGCATACCCCAATGACAAACATAACCTAAACGGACTCTTTAATTAACGTTTATTTAAGGTCTTGGTAGCGCTTAGCACGAGGAATAGGTTTGAATGGTTAGAAAATACATTCACAACCTAAACAAGCTCTTAAGAAAATAAATGCTTCTTTAAAATAGCTATAAATCTTCCATCTGGTCCTGGATGCTGGCCAAAGGCATACTGAACTTCCGGGGTTTCCTGTCACTCAAACAGCCGTTCGTCATCATGTGGGCGGGCTCACGTTTGCTGTCAACATCGGAATTCATGCGGGATGTGCAATACTTTATTAACATGCAGAGCTTTAATACTGTTTGTGTGGTGGGCTTGTTTATTTTAATCGTTTTTATTATGGACTAAATGGATGGACAACACCGCGGACATGACTTGGCTAGTCATCACGAATCACTGATAAGCTACTACAGTAAAGATCTGATTGCATGCTCTCCTCTTCCTCTAATCGACCAGGAAGCAGAAAGTTTTCTTTTTCATATCTTCTTAAATTCCATGTCAGGGTCATAAATAGATGACAGCATGAGGAGCCGCAGTAATTCAGGAGTGAGGTTGGATGGATTTGCCAGACTTGTCCAAGAAACAATATTATGCCACCAGGTTTGTTCAAAATATGACTGAGAATTCTATTCTATTCTATTCTATTCTAGTCTAGTCTAGTCTAGTCTAGTGTGTTATATATGCTGTTCTCTTCTACTCTAGTCTTTTCTGTTCTGTTCTGTTACATATTCTGTTCTATTTTGTTCTATATAATGTATTATTCTGTTACTCCCTACTATTCTATTTTACTCCATTGTTCTAATCTATATTATATATGTTATTTAATATATTCTGATTTATTCTAATAATTCTATAATCGGATCTATTTTAATTCTAGAATAGAATTGTGTTCGGCAGTACTCTCAGTATTTATACAATCAGTATTGTTTCTAATGTCTAACTGAATTATTAATTTAAAAAACAGTCCTGTCTAGTTTCTTGTGGTTGAGATTTGATTCTTCTGCACCATTGGGGCCATTCTGACAGGAGGAATCTAAAAATAAATAAGGCTTGAACAAAGGTCACCTTTAAATAACCCATGAGTGAGGAAAATATTTGTATTATCTGTTGCATGTGAATTTCTTTAAAGCAGAGCTGATGCTTTATGCACAACACAAGAAAATGTATAAGTAAAAATAAGTGATCAACATAACTATGTTGGATTTTTATTTATTGAATGGTTTAACATTTTTTTTCAGCAGGTAACTTGTGTTTAAAAATGTAAAACATAAAATAAAAGAAATCGGATGGAGCTTGTATTTCTAAAAATAAAGTAAATTCAGTAAACTAAGTCACTAAGTTACATGCTGTATGGCAAGCCGATTTAACATTTAATCTATAAACCGCACTAGTAGCTAATTTAACATTACTAGTACTTATTTTTTAGATACTAGTATCTTTTCCATTAAGTACTAGTACTTATTCATTAACTACTAGTGCTTATTCTTTAGGTACTAGTGTCTTTTGTAAAGTTACTAGTACTTATTCATTAGATACTAGTACTTAATCATTAGATACTAGTACGTTTTCATTAGATACTAGTACTTATTCCAATAGTGACTAGTACTTAATTATACTTTACTTGTTTAGAAAAATTAGAACTAGTAGTTATTTTTTAGTTACTAGTAACTTTTTAGACCAGAGATATCCTGAACTAAATAGATACTAGTACTTTTTAAATTTGCATTTCTGCTCAGTATGCTAATAGTATGTTGAATATTAATGAACCAACAACATATAAGAGAGAGATTAGACAGGAAACGGAAATAAGGAGACAGAAAGAAGGCGACGAGAAGGGAGAAAAAAAGAAGGCGCAACATGGCAGAAGTACTTATACAAATATGTAGAAAATGCAAGTTTGTTGAAAGATCACTAAGCCAGGGAAACCTTAGAAACGCACAGTTGATGGCCATTGAGTCATCATTATTAAATTTGAGAAGAATTGAAGGACTGTTATCTTCTGAAACGATGGAAGAACTTGTCAGTAGCATATCAGATCTCAGAGTTTTCGCCAGACAGTCACTCAGGGAGCGCAGAGAAGAAGCTTTCACAGTCCCTCGAATTCGCTCAGGTATGCTATCAAAACAGATATTATGGAGTCACGGCATCTTTCAGCTACGAGTGAAACGCGAGGCGGCGGTCTAAGGTTAATAGTTCCCCCGCCGAACAGCAGCCCATAACCGGCTCAGATTTCGGCGACACATCGGGCACGAGAATTAGCGCTATTTCGGTGAAAAGTGATTACAGAGAACGGTTGAATACACTTAAATCAAAATGCTACTTTTAAATGTTACATTTTTATTTCTAAAATATTTGTTAAACGAGTTTAAATTTAATATTATAAACTATGCTGTATTCACCCAAATAAATTCAAATTGTCTTATATTTTGGTCTTTTGATTATTGCCTATAGTAATTCTGTGTGAATTTAAATTTCCAGCCCATTTAAAGCCAGAAATATAATAATTTTCACACAGTAAAACGCTTAAGGCATAAATAAACGCATTGCGTACTTATTTTGAGCTCATCTATGTAGTAGGCCTAGCTTATGATTTACTAATAATGTGTAGGCCTATACGGAGTTTGGTCTTTCAAAAACACTCTCAATTAACGCGCCACGTTAATATTTTAGAATGTCCCTGATGCAGAAAATTCAGCTGTACATCACAGGAATGAATAATTATAAAAAAATGTATTTGCATTAAAACCAGTTATTTTAAATTGAAAAAAAATACTGCACAATATACTTTTATCACGTGCTGCTCGCTACAATGATGCTTGCAATGTGAATCAGCTGTTAAACTAAAGACTGCCGCTGATCCAAATAGAGCAGCTGCCAGCTTCACAAAGTCTGTTCAGCCACATATTATCGTTTTTTCCGTGTTATAAACATTTAAATAACAGAAGAACTGGGATAAAATTGTATAGTTAGAGCATAAACCGTGCTAGCAAAGTAGCCTAACCTATTGAAAATGTTTTGGTATTAATGTATTGTATCGATTATTAGCTATAGGCCTACGCCAGTAAGTGACCGTTTAAAAAGTTTTTGCCATTGAATCATTCATAAACTCTCCATTACGAAAATTAATTACTACAAATAAAACAAAAAACGTGGTTATTAAACATTGTAACCACAGATTTAACCATATGGTTTTGATACAGTAACCAGTTTAACCGTGGTAGGCTGTTTGTAGTAAAACTGTGGTAATACCAATGGTAATCAGTCTGCCAAAAAACACACTTTTACTGTAATAAAACCATGGTTAATTTTCATAAGGGCTGATTCTTCCAATAATGAAACAAGTATTTACAATTACAATAAGAGAAAAAAAAATATGAATGAGACACTGATTCCTTAATCGACTGAAGCAATGAACATTTTACCTCAGTGTAGACGTAAATGTAGACGTTATTTTTAGTTGCCTCATATTTTTTTCTTCAGAATTGTGTCAGTCGCGATTTCTATTTTAAACAATTCAAAATGTATCCAGATTCGTGCAACTTTAATAAATAAGTGTGCTTCTTCTCAAGTACATTTGATTTGTCCAATATACTTTTACACAATCAAACAAGACGTAACAAAGCAAACCTTTTATTTTGATTAAAATGTCTGTTTATAATTGTTGCTAGTGAATTTTGCTTAACAGCACTTGTATAATGGTTCTGTGTATATTAATAGGTCGGCGAGGGAGACCCAAAATCACAGTGACGAGGCAGCAGTTGGAATTCTTTATGGCACAGGGCTACACCATCAAGCGCATGGCTCGACTTTTGGGATGTTCTGCATCATTTCTATATAAGAGGACAAAAGCGTTGGGGATGTCAATTAGGCAGTCAAGTTCATTGACTGACCAATTTTAAATGTTAATTTATTTTAATTTAGTTTTAATTATCATTGTACTTAATTTAGCCTATTAATTTCACATTGTGTTCTACAACATTAAATTACTGTAAATATGAACTTTGTAGCCACTGATTTTTTTTAAACCGTGTTAACATTTTATTTATATCTTATAAAACCACCTGGGAATTATGAACATGCAAATACAAACATAAAAAAAATTTGAATTCATACCAGTTTGCGGAGTGTGTGAGTAAACTATAAAAATGCTTTTTATTTGTTGATTTTTTTTGTTAAGACTGAAGTTCTTCAATTATAATACTTTTAATCAAATTCTTTGTGTCATTGTTTGCATACTACATCACAGATGATGAGAGCATTACTGCGAGCCGAGGGATTGCTGGTAACACGACACAGAGTGAGAGTGATGTTAAGTAACATTGACCCAGCAGCTGCTGCACGTAGATGGAGTGCCGCTGTAGCCAGAAGAACATATTATGTGCCATATCCAAACAGTCTGTGGCACATGGATGGGAATATGCGCCTTATCAGGTATTTACGATTTTGTTAAACCCCATGTTCTTGTGTGACTGCCTTTTTGTTAATTAATCAATTAAAGCAAGCAAGCAAATAAATAAATAGAAATTCTAGGTCTAATTCTAGTTGGGAAGTGATCCTTTTAACTGATTTGCAAATAATAATTTAAAATATGCACACATGCACTTTTATTTGTATGCCAAATATGTTGAAAATGCAGAGCAGTTT